AAAAATCATTTACATTGAAATTTTTTATTAAAATAAAATGATTCTGTGACCAGCTTCAGGCCATCCTGGCTATTACACCTTTGTATCATGGATAGCATTGCAGGGTCACATTACAAGCCTATCAACAGCAGAGTATCAAGGTGGCTCAGGTAATCTCTTTTATGAGACCAATGTCTGTTGGTGAGAGAGAGAAGCATTCGAGCCACACAGAGCTCTTCGTCAGGGCTGGGAACAGTACTAAGGCCTGGTCTACTCTATAGAGTTAAGTCGGCGCAAGGCAGCATACGTCGACCTAACTCTGGAGGTGTCTACACTAAATTTCGCTCCCGCCAACGTAACTTACTAACTCCATCTCCATGATCAGCAGAGAGTTTAGGTCAATGTAGTTCGGTCAAAGCAGTGACAGTGTAAACACTGTGTTACTTACCTTGGCTGTCGGTGGCCTCCAGGAGGTACCCCCACAATGCCGCTCCTTGACTGCTCTGGTCACCATTGTGAACTCCACTGCCCAGCAGCCAGGTACACAGGAAGCCACCCCTCCCCTTTAAAGCCCCGTGAATTTTTGAAATTCCATTTCCTGTTTGCCTGGCTTGGAGTCACCAGGCAACTGACCATGCTGGCTACATGCTACAGACGTGCTCCTGCCTGGAGTACATGGGGGACAGGGGGGTCGGATCTCATGGGTCTGTCAGGAGAAGAGGCCGTGCAGGCACAGCTCTGATCCAGCCACAGAAATATCAACATCTACGAGCAGGTCGCTTGAGGCATGGAGGAGAAGGGGTACGACAGGGACCAGCAGCAGTGATGCGTGAAAGCCAAGGAGCTGCGGCAGGCGTACCAGTAGGCAAGGGAGGCTAACAATCACTCTGGTGTGGACAATACTTAATTTGTGCCAGGCCTGAGCCCCTGGCACCTCTGGGCGTGGCAGTTCATAGCCCCAGCACTTCTGGGCTTGCTGCATCAGTTATGAACGTAAAAAAATTGCTTGAGCCCCGGCACCTCTTTCATTACAAATTAAGCACTGGCTGTGGAACCACAGACCTGCCGCTTTTACAAAGAGCTGCACACCATCCTTGGACGAGACCCCACCACCATCCCCAAGCCCCCGTGTATATTTTGTAGGACCCCAAGGCAGAGGCCCCCGCCATGAACAGGGAGAAGGAACGTGGAATACGGGAGACAGATGACCAGGGGATCCAGCAGCGCAGCGACCCAGAACCTGTTTTTGACTCCAGCGCAGTCCAACTAGTCCTAACAGTTGAGTACGGGTGAGCCTGCAGGGGAAGGAACCTCTGGTAAGTATATGGTTTGCTTAGAAATTACAGAGATGGAACCCCCAAAGTGGCAGGACACATCCATTGATTTACTCTTTTTTACTTATGCTAGAAGAGGTTGTGAAACAACCAACAGAGTCAGAGTTGCTATCCACTTCTCATCCCCCTCTAGAGTTAGGCAGAGGGGGCCCCCGCAGAACAATTTGTTTATGTGCACTGGGATATCCCGTAAATCCTCCGTAGATATCTCGATGAAACTTTCCTGCAGATAATCTGCAATCCTCTGCTGAAGGTTTCTGGGGAAGACTGCCTTATTTCTTCTACTGTGGTAGGACAGTTTCCCACACCGCTCAGCAATTACTTCAGCAGGCACCATTGCAGGACACAGGCTAGCAGCGTACTGCCTTGGTCTGCAGCTGGACATCTGCAGGAGTTGTTCCCTTTCAGCCTCCATTACCCTCAGGACTGAAATATCGGCTAAAATCCAGCTCCACCTATGGAAAATGGTGCCCGTATTCAGTTCAATTGCCCTATGCACATATACTCATGCCTGTGAGCTATCTCCCCTAATTTCCCCAATTTGTCCCCCACCCCAGGGCCATACTCACCATGGCTGGTGCTGTGACTGCCATCATGCTGTATAAACCCCAAGGAGAAGCGATAATGGAGTGCTTAAAACTTGTCTGGATCAAGGGGAGCGAGTTCAGTATCCTAAGTTTCAGTTTATCTCGTGAATACATTGACAATGGTGCATCTGTGTACTGTATCTTCAGCAGCTGCAAACGTGGCCTTCGGGGTCACTCCATCCACACCAGCAGAACGGCTGAGCCAGATAAGGACAAAGAGAAAGAGGACTCAGGATGACATGTCCCAAAAAATCCTGCAACCTCCGCTGCTTCAGATAACAAGTATAGGGCTTGGAGGGTCACCCTTGTGCACAGTCTGGCCAGACAGTCAGGGAGTGCAGAGAGAGGTGCAGGAAAAGGAGAGGGACATGCTGCAGGAGATGCTAGTGCTTCTCAGGCAGCAAACAGACATGCTGCAGACTCTGGTGGACCTACAGGTTCCACAATCCCATGCTCGCCTCCCTTTGCAGCCCATAGAGAACTGCATATCAGGATCTCCCTACAGCCCCCCTCCCCCCCCCCAAAAAAACGTTCCACACAGCACAAGGGGCCGCTGCTCTACCCCCTGCCATTCCACCCCTTGGGGACATTAAAGACATTCACAGCCGCACATACACTGACCTGTGAAAGACACGATTGGTGTGTGTGCAGCTGAGATGGAAATGACTGTTCTTTCCCCTTCATACATTCTTTTCCCTTGATGTGTTATGTTCTATTAAGTTATAAATGTTTTTCTATTTGCATTGTTATGGAGTAAAAATCTATTTTGGGAAACAAATGCATTTTTATTTGATCACAACATATGCTGCTGCCATCCTTCACAGACAGTATGGGTGCACTGGCCGTGTTATTTTACTACACACACAGCACTCACCAAAGGGTTCATAACAGAGCTACAGGAGAGCAAGGCCAGGTAGAGCTCACTACAGCAACACACTACTCTGGCTCACTATTAAAATGGTCTTACAAAGCTTCCCTGAGCCTAATAGCTCCGCACTGTGTTCTTCTTGAAGACCTGGTCTCCAGCTGCTCAAAATCACCGGACAGCTGCTCCACCTCTACTCTTCACTCCTTGGAAACTTTGCCCCCTTTGCTTCACAGATATTATGCAGGACACAGCAGGCAGCTATAACCATTGGGATATTTTTTCATTGAGGTCCAATCTCATGAGTAGAGAGCGCCAGTGACCCTTCCAATATCCAAAGGCACATTCAACAGTCATTCTGCACCTGCTCAGCCTGCAGCTGAAGCACTCCTTGGTGCTCTTGAGGTGCCCAGTGTACAGCTTCTTGAGCCATTGGAGCAAGGGGTAGGGCTGGGTCACCCAGGATGACCATTGGTATTTCAACATCCGCAATGGTAATCCACCAGTCGGGGAAGAAAGTCCCTGCTTGCAGCTTTCTGAACAGCCCTGTGTTCTTAAATATGTGTCATGAACCTTTCCTGACCAGCCCACACTGATGTCGGTAAAGCATCCCTGGTGATTCACCAGAGCTTGCATTACCATAGAAAACTAGTTTTCTCTGTTAATGTACTCTGTGGCAAGGCAGTCTGGTGCTAAAATAGGGATATGCGTGCCATCTATTGCTCAACTGCAGTTTGGGAACCGCATTGCTGCAGTGCCATCCACTATGTCTTGCACATTGCCAAGAGTCACAGTCCTTCCCAGCAGGAGGCGATTAATGGCCCTGCACACTTGCATCACAACAGCCCCCATGGTGGAATTCCCAACTCCAGATTGATTCCCAACTGATCAGTAGCAATCTGGCGTTGCAAATTTTCACTGTGCAATTGCCACTCCCTTCTCCACTGTCAATGCAGATCTCATTTTGGTGTCTCTGAGTTGCAGGGCTGGGTCGAGCTCTGCACACAGATCCTGGAATGTGGTCTTGCGCATCCAAAAGTTCTGCAGCCACTACTCATCACCCCAAACCCCCGTGACAATGCGATCCCACCAGCCAGTGCTTGTTTCTTGGGCCCAGAACCAGCTCTCCACTGTCTGAAGCTGCTCTGTGAATGCTGCCAACAACTTTGAATTGTTTCTATGTCCCACAGCCATCTAGCCTCCAAGGAATCATCATGTTCCCTGTGGCACCTCTTGCAGCTCTGCAATTACTGCAGGATCAGGTGGCCCGTGCTCATCGCAGTAGTGCAGAGCTGTGCAGGCTCCATGCTTCTGTCAGAGATGGTAGACAGCGAGGAGGGAAGCACGGGTTTATGGGATGGAGAATACTGCATTCTGGGAAGTTGAATCCACGCTCCCAGTCACCCCTGCATGACTGGTTTCATCCCAATGCAACATTATGAAAACTTACCAGAACACCCTGCACTGGATGGGGGCGAGGTGCACTGTGGGATAGCTGCCATGGTGCACTGCACCCTGCATCAACACAAGCACTCCTGGTGAGGACACGCACCGCCAGCACACGGAGCGCAGTTTGGACGAGCACAAACAATAACTGCTGCAGCTGTATGCCAACGTAACTTAGATCAACATAATTTTGTAGTGTAGACTGAGAGTGTCCCAGCTAAATACAAGATCAAACAGATAGTTTAGCATAAGTAGCACATATTCTAAGGGACTATTCAAGGTGAAGTGGCTTATTAACACCCCTGCAGTCATAGGACAGAAAGGAAGTTAGCGGGTTACAGATCGTTGTAATAAGCCATAAATACAGTGTCCTTAGTAAGACCATGACTCTAGACTGCTAAACTATCTGTTCAATCTTCTATTTAGCTCTGACACTCTAAGTACCTTTCCCAGACCTGAAGAAGAGCTCTGTGTCACTCAAAAGCTCGCCTTTCTCACAAACAGAAGTTGGCCCAAGCTATTACCTCACCCACCTTGTCTCTTTAATATCCTGGGACTGACATGGCTACAACACTGCCTACAACAGGAGAGTGTAGCCAGCAGACAAGCTTGCTCTTTGACAAAAAAATGCCCTTTGTTTCACTCCTCCCACTTTCCTTCATAACAGGTTATACTGAGTTACTCCACCCTTGGTAAACACACACTAAGGGCCTTGGTGAGTATATTTGGCTTCTATAGGACGTATTTTTTAAACCCACTTCTGAGAAACTCCTCTCCACTTCCTTACAGGAAACTGTGCTTCAGTCTTCACAGACACCGCCCTATGATTTCTCAGGCCGACTAGCGAAGGGCAGCCAGAGAGGTAAGGGTCATAGCGTTTCATCAGGGCTTTCGATCTTGCAGACCTTATATCGAGGAAGGGGATATTGTTTTGCCTCCTGCTGGCCTGTGGGCAAACCAGAAATTCCCTGTAAAATGTAAACTATTTACTATTGAAACGTGAGGTGGTCCGGTAGGGATTGTGCAGATCCCCTTTGCGCTTATGCTTAAATCTTCCCTTCCTCTTAAATGCTAGGTTTACTACCTCATCTCTTGACACCGACAGATTCCAGCAGCAGGGCGGTGGGGCTGGGCTGCCTGCTGAAAGGGGGCTGGAAGAGGCACATATCAATATCAAGAATATCATGGCAAGAATATAGCTGGAAGAGGGGTGTGTGGCGGGGAGAGAGAAGCATCTGTGCAAAATGTTGGGTCATTCACCTGTGTAGAGACCAGTGTAGTGCACTTTACTCATCAGTACGCTTGTGTGAACTGTTCTAAGGGCCACTAAAATCAAAGGGAGCTTTGCCATTGACTTCAGTGGTCACAGTCTGAGGCTTTCAAAGACAGCTAGCTAAAAAATTATATAACCTGATTGCCTTCTTTTGGAGAGTGCACAAGTCAGTGTTGAGACATGGTGTGATGGGCACAAAGCTGCTGTGTAATAATCTAAGACCACCGGTATGTAATAATTCTCTGTACACTGTATTACTGAGGTTATTGGTTATTGAGATAGACTGTGTAACTTACACTGTGGTAGTGGAATGTTTATTATAATCGTATAATGCTCAAATTCAATGAGGACTGTGGAAAAACAAGCAGGAAAGAAACATAATGGTCCCACATAAGAACAGAGCTTATATCTTGTCTCTAACAAAGATGCAAGACTTATTCTGCCAGGCTAGGAGACTAGTGATCAAAAGGTCTATAAATAGGGGAGTGATCAAAACACTACGCAGTCTTTAAAGGTGACGCTCTCTGAAGCAGGGGGAGAAATGGTTTGAGCGCTAAAGCAACAGATTATTCAGGCCAGACCTTAGAGGTTTCAGGGTTTCTACAGGAAGCTTAGACCTATCTACCAAGGTCCTCATGTGGAAGAGTGTTAGATACCTGGTAAGCTAGACATGCATTAGTCTGTTTATTGTTTTAAGATTTGTTTCATCTGAAAAGCTTTGGTTCTAAATAAATAACACTCTGCTTTAGAGAGCCTGTTCTGTTACTGGGTAGCGAATACCATTGTCATTGGTCACATGGGACAGAAATGCAGGCACTGAAAATAAGTCAGCCCGCTGAGGTAATCATGGCTAAGGCTACATTTTAGTCATGGGTATTTTTAGTAAAAGTCATGGTCAGGTCATGGGCAGTAAACAAAAATTCATGGCCAGTGTCCTGTCCATGGCTCGTACTATATACCTCTGATTAAAACTTGGGTGCTTTTTGGGGGGGTTATGTGGCCCATGGGTGCAGCAGGTTCTCTGGGGGGGGTGGTCTGGGGGCTCGCAGCCCCAGGACTCCCACTGTTGCAGGGGTGAGGGGGGGCTGGCAGGCTCCCTACCTGGCTCCACACAGTTCCCAGAAGCAGCCGGTCTGAACCGGCAGCCCCTAGGTGGAGGCGCAGCCAGTTGGGCTCCGTGCGCTGCCCCCGCCCCGAGTGCCCAATCTGCAGCTCCCATTGGCTGGGAACTGCAGCCAATGGGAGCTGCGGGGGAAGCACCTGTGGGCGGAGGCAGCGCACACTGCGCAGAGCTTCCTGGCCACGCCTCCGCCTAGGAGTCGGACATGCTGTCTGCTTCCAGAGAGCCCCCCGCCCCAAGGTAAGTGCCACCCAGAGCCCTCACTCCCTCCCACGCTCCAACCCCCTGCCTCAGCCCTGAGCCCCCTCCCACATCCAAACTCCTGCTGATGCTGAGGGGGAGGGGTGCAGTGGCCCGAGACTACCGCAGCAGCAGCCTGTGTGGCAGCCCCCGAGCCAGCCTCATCGGCCACTGCAGAAGTCATGGAGGTCCCGAAAAGTCACAGAATCCACGACCAGGGCTGGCCCGCAACATTTTGGTACCTGAGGCAGGGAGCTCAAATGATGTCCCCATGCCCCCTCGCTTGGGCCAAAACTTTGAAACTCTGGGTCCTAGTGGCTCCCTCCCCCCACAGGCTGGCACCTGAGGCGGTCGCCTCAGTTTGCCTCATAGTAAGGCCAGCCCTGTCCATGACTTCCGTGACAGACCCACAACCTTAATCATGGCTGATCACAGGGGACTGCAGCCAGGGCCTGTTCTGAGAGTGATAGAATCACAGGATTCCACCCTGAGAAAGGCAATGGCATCAGGCCCAAGACCAGAGCAGGGTGCTCGCGAAGAAAACAGGTGGGAGTCAGAGGTGCAGTTAGTCCAATGACTGTGGCATGTGGCTGTACCCCCAGGCAGGTTAAATTGTGCTGCACAGCTGCCACAGTTCCCCCCAGGAGCTTTCTGTTCTGTACTGAAACAATACAACAAGAAGAAAACAGTTTCACTCCCTTGGAACGCCCACCCTGCCTAGTTACCAGTTCAGTACTCTGGCTCGAGTGCCTCCCAATGACACCAGCAAAATGGCAGGATTCATCTGAAGGCCACTTGTGGTGGGGAAGGGGAGATAGGCAGGGAGGGGAGATTGTCCTACCAAGGTGCCTGGGCCAACATCAGCTGAACAGCATGTGGTCAGTAGTCACATTTCCCAGCTAACACCCATGCCCGGTATAAATACAGTGTCAAAACACGAGCCTGAGGCCCCGACCCAGGTACTGTCAGTTGGACTGAAACTGCAGAACAGGTTGCTTTTGTTTGCCAAGCAGGAAATTAGGGCTCTTGCTTCCTCAGGGCCTGATCCTGACTGGTGCTGAACAGCTCAGCTCCCCTTGAGTTCAGTGGCAGATGAGAGTACCCAGCCTCCAGCAGGAAGCACAAGGCACCTCCCAGGACAAGGCATCCGGAACTATTCCTCGTTGTGATTCCAGCAGGTCAGAGCTGCTAGTGCAAGGAGAACAAGGCTGCGTCACAGTGTAAACAAACACCCTTTCTGTGTCGCTGAATTTCTAACATCTTTGGGGAGGAGTTTGTACACTGCTCCAATGCTGCAGCAATACAGTTGATGAAACTGAAATTAAAATTCTTCTATTTTCATTTTAGCTGCTCTTTGGAGACAACAGATGTAGTAACAATAACCCAGCGCTTTGGGCTCATATCGCACATTTCATCTGAAGAGCTCAAAGCTCATCAAAAGGAGGCACAGGGATCACCCCTATTTTTGCAGATGGAGAAAACGAGGCACAGAGCAGTTAAGTGACTAGCCGAAACGCACGCAGGATGGCCAGAGTGGAATCACAATCAGGACCCGGGTCATACAACTCCTAAGTCCCTTTCTCGTGCTGCCTCTCCAGCATCCAGTAGATCCGTCATCCCCATTTCTTTCCCATGGCTGGGTTCCTGCCCCTCCCCGCATCCTTCTAGGCACTCATTTGATTTGCAGTGTGACAGATGCTAATTACAGTGAGGCACTTGGACACCTCAACAGGGAATTTTCTTACCTGTAATTTGAGCTCTGCTCATTTGACCAGCAGAGCTGCCCGACCTTTGCAGTGCAAAGAGCCATGCTCGCTGCTAGCCAGGAGCCCCAGTGCTATACCTAATTTCCATATTCATGTACACAGAATTTTAATCAGCTCTAAAAATAACCGTTTTAAAAAAAATTTTAAACAGAGCCCAGTAGATGTGCACGGCGCTTGACAAAACACAAGGACCAAGATTTAAAACATCTCAGACTAGCGCTGCTGTCCTTGACCAAGAGCTTCTAAAGCATCTGGTGATTTTGTGAGTGCAACTTGCAGTCCCTTAAAGGGGCTGGATTTTCACAGGAGGATGCTCAGTGCTTTCTGAAAATCAGCCCCCTTAAGGCATCTCATGTTGGGCCCCCAAAATCACTACTGAAATTCTTTGCCCAAAGAGACTAGCACTGAGCTGAGATTTTAAATCCTCCGTTTCCTACATTCCATTATAGATTATTATTTGTATTACGGTACAGCCTAACAGCTCAAATGAGATCAAGACCATGCTGTGCTAGTCACTGCATAAATGCATAGTGAGAGTTTATAATCCGCTAACTATATAGACAAGTTAGTCAAAGGGGAAACTGAGGCACGGGGGTGTGACTTGCCCAAGGTCGCCCAGCACAACAGTGGCAGAGGTAGGAATAGCACCTCAGTCTCCTGACTCCCAATCCAGATCCTCATCTACTAGACTAGAATTTCTCTGCTGAGGGATCAATGACCTTCAGGGGAATCACAAAAGGCAATCAAGGTACGATGTGAAGCACTGAAAACTTAAACCTCCTCCAGTCCCCCCACCCCACCCCCACGCTTACCCTTCAAGGTCAAATATTAAACATCCTGAAACACACATATGGATACATGATGTAGGCTTGGTATTATCATCATCAATATAGCTAGTATAAAAGTAAGAGTAAAAAAATGTAAGGGGGGTGGTGGTCAGGAAAAAAATTGCATTTGAATAAGGGGTTGCCAACCTGAAATAGTTGGAAAACACTTCACAAGAGCATGCTTCCACCCCACCAGCAGAATTAGACCTGTTTAAACCTGGTATATGTGAGAGGAGACTCAGTCCGTGTATATGTAGTTCGCCTCATCTTGATCTAGATTAAAATGTCTCTCTAGATTTTAGACTTTAATGAAATGCAGTTTGAACAGGTCAGAATCTACTGTATGGAAAATGCCAACTATTAACAAAATCCATTTTTCTATCAGGAAACAACTATTGCTTCAAACATCAGCTGCAGACTCAACACTAATGTCTACACTACAAAATTAGGTCAATTTTATAGAAGTTGATTTTTAGAAATCAATTTATACAGTCGATTGTGTATGTCCCCACTAAGCGCATTAAGTCAGCGGAGTGCATCCTCAATACCATGGCTAGCATCGACTTATGAATCGGTGCACTATGGGTAGCTACCCCACAGTTCCCGCAGTCTCTGCTGCCCATTGGAATTCTGTGTTAAGCTCCCAATGCCTAATGGGGCAAAAACATTGCTGCGGGTGGTTTGAGTATATGTCGTCAGTCGCCCCTCCCTCCCTCCTTCCCTCCCTCCATGAAAGCAACGGCAGACAACCGTTTTGCGCCTTTTTTCCTGGATTACCCGTGCAGATGCCATACCATGGCAAGCATGGAGCCCGCTGAGCTCACCGCTGCTGTTGTGAGCATTGTAAACACCTCATGCATTCAACCAGGTGACCATGAATGATATCCCTCTCCTGAGGCTAACACAGAAAGGTATAGCCCGAATGTTGCTTGAATGCGACCAAAACCCAGGACCATTCACTGCCATGCGTTGTGCTACAAGGATTCCAGACTACTTGCTACTGGCTTGGCGTGATAAGGTGTCCTACTGTGGAGGACGACATAAGGCAGCCTTCCCCAGAAACCTTCTACAAAGGCTTTCAGAGTACCTCCAGGAGAGCTCCATGGAGATGTCCCTGGAGGATTTCCGTACCATCCCCAGAGATGTTAACAGACTTTTCCAGTAGCTGTACTGGCCACAAATGCATCCCAATTCTTCAGGGCGAATCAAACATTAAACACTGTTGCTTTTAAACCCTGTACTGTAGTTACAAATGTGCACTCACCAGAGCTGCCTTCTCCAGCTTCAGGGCTGGGTATCCCGCCTTGGGAGGGTCCTGGCTCCAGGGTGATGAAAAGGTCCTGGCTGCCGGGGAGAACGGATTCACCGCTTTGCCTGCTGCGCATTCTCCTTCTCCTCCTCATCCACAAAATCCTCCTCCCTGTTGCATGAGACTTCCCCCTTGCAGGTGTCCATGGACAGTGTTGGTCCCCCCCTAGAATGCCATGCAGCTGATCATAGAAGCGGCATGTATGGGGCTCTGACCCAGAGTGACTGTTTGCCTCCTTTGTCTTTTGGTAGGCTTGCCTGAGCTCCTTGACTTTCATGCAGCACTGCTGTGTCCCTCTGGTGTAGCCTCTGTCCATCATGCCCTGTGCGATTTTGGCATATATATTTGCATTTCTTCTTTTTGATTGGAGTTCGGCCTGCACAGATTCCTCTCCCCGTACAGCGATCAGATCCAGTGTCTCCCTTTCGGTCCATGCTGGAACTAGTTTGCGATTCTGGGAGGACTGCATGGTCATCTGTGCTGCTGAGCTTGTCACGCTGACCAAACAGGAAGTGAAATTCAAAATTTCCCGGGGCTTTTCCTGTGTACCTGACTAGTGCATCGGAGATGAAAGTGCTGTCCAGAGCAGTCACAATGGAGCACTCTGGGATAGCTCCCGGAGGCCAATAACGTCAATTTGTGTCCGCACTACCCCAAATTTGATCCAGCAAGGTCGATTTTAGTGCTACTCCCCTCGCTGGGGAGGAGTATGGAAGTCGATTTTAAGAGCCCTATAGGTCGATGGAACGGGGTTAGTTGTGTAGATGCATTCATTTTTAAATCGACCTAACGCAGCTAAATTCAACCTAACCCCATAGTGTAGACCAGGGCTAAGGGCCTTTGCATCCATTCAAATTGCATCTTGGTTCTGGCTTTTACAACAAAGGTAAACCAGATTTCATGCTTTCAAAATTCACGATCCTGTCTTCTTAGTGACCCAATTTTACATTGTACATTTAAATGTAATAATTTATTTACCCTTTATTTCTGACTAATTCTAATTAACCTAACTCAGGGGTTAACCTGAGCCTGAGAAGGCATCAGAATTTACCAATGTACATTGCCAAAGAGCCACAGTAATACATCAGCAGCCCCCCCATCAGCTCCCCCACCCCCAATCGCCACCCCCAGCACCTCCTCCTCCCTCCCCGTGCCTCCTGCCTGCCGTGATCAGCTGTTTTGCAGTGTACAGGAGGCTCTGGGATGGAGGGAGGAGGCGCAAGGGTGCAGCAGGCTCAGGGGAGGGGGCAGGAAAGGGGGGGGGGGCCTTGGGATAAGGGGTGGAGTGGGGGCGGGGCTTGGGGTTGTGCTGTGGAAAGTTAGCACCTGTAGCTCCAGCCCCAGAGTCAGCACCTATGCAAGGAGGCGCATATTAACTTCTGAAGAGCTGCATGCAGCTCCGGAGGCACAATTTGGCCACCCCTGTCCTAACTACTTCTAGATGTACCTACTATAAAGGGTGACCAGCACATCTCTTGGCCCGCGCCAATTCCTGCAGCCCCCATTGTCCTGGAATGGCAAACCATGGCCAGTGGGAGCTGCGATCGGCTGAACCTGCAGACGCTGCAGGTAAACAAACCGACCCAGCCTGCCAGCGGATTTCCCTGATGGGCCGCATGCCAAAGTTTGCTGATCCCTGGATTAGCCTCTCTTCAAGCCAGGAAGAGTCATTTTAAATTCACAGGGATATTTAACATAGAGGTTATTAAGAGCAGTATCAATCCCCTGCATAACCAATTGATCGCAAGTTACCAATAAAAGTGTTACAGGTTTCAAGCTGTTAGCAACATCAACAGCTAGATTTTCCACAACATACCTGCGGCTGCCAACAAAAGGGAGAATTTGTGCCAGTTATGATGGTGATTTTGTGATGGCTGGGCATGTTCCAATAGCAAACTAAAATGGGACCCTGCCTTCCCACTAAACTCATTCCACATGCAACACTTGTTCCTTCTGTTGATTCACTCTGAACCATGTTTCCCTCCTACTCTTCCCTTTACCAGGGTGGAAGCCACTCTTTTTCTCTACATGAGAGGTGCTGAAGGACTGCAATGTAAAGAAAGTCACAGAGATTGCACCTGGTATTTTCACCCAATAAGATGGCCTCGGAAACATTCAGTACTTACGAAGGTATCCCTGCTCCTTCCACTGCGCTATTTCTCTTTCCTTCTGTTTTCATGATTCAGAATGGGAAATGCATGCATCCTTTTAAAAGTAGGTCTAAAGACACTCCAGTCTGATGTTGTTTTTAATCTTAGAAAACACTGATGACCACGATTTTCAATATGATGGCAGCCTGGGGATCTCAGAGCTTTTGCAGGAGAAAATATATAGTGAGGAGCTGCAGAGCTTGTTTCCTGAGGGGTACAACTATGAGGAAATGTTGCGGGATGTGATGGACCTTGAGAGGTAAGCAAGAGAAATGTTGGTCAAAAAAGAATTCTCACACGCAGAGGCTGGTCAGCTGTCTCCTGATAACACCTCACCCCCCAATTGAATGGCACCAAGGTCCCTTCATCCATGACAGCCCCGGGTGTTGCCTCCATTTTATTTGTTATCGGTGAACAATTTCAGATTTATTAGCACCAGTGAGGATGTATAAAGCAGAAACGGTTCTCTGCCAGCAGGCTCAGTTCAGGGAAAGGATAACCTTAATCGGTATGCAGAGCAAGAGAGAGGAATAGAGGGTGCCAGAGAGAACAACCCAGTGCCTCAGAGTAGTGATTCTCAACTTTTTTGGGCTCAGGACCCATTTGTAAATGTTTATGCCCAGTCGTGACCCAGTAAATAGTCTGGGGCCTGGGGTGGTTTTGGTCAGGTCCTGCACCCTAGGGGCTTGGGTCCTGCCCAGCACTCACCCCACAATGGCAGCTCCTGCACCTCCTATGCTGTGGGGCTGGCTGGGCTTGGGTCTCCGCTCCAGGCATTGCAACCTCTGGGGTTGCAGCACCACTCAGGTTTGGCCCCGCACCTCTGACTAGACCAAATTTGTCCGAATGGATTTGTGACCTGCTTCATGGGGTTGTAGTGCCACTCACTCAAATTTGGCCTACCCGGGCTCCCATCATCATGACGGCTGGGCCAAACCTCCGTGGTGCTGCTCCCCCGGAGGCTGCAGTGCCGGGAGCAGGGATGCGAGCCCAGCCAGCCCCGTGAGACAGAAGCCACAGGAGCTGCCACATGACCTTTTGAAACATTCTAGTGACCCAATTTTGGGTTCCAACCCACAGGCTGAGAAAATCTACCTCAGAGGGACCAAGGCTGCAGCAGTTTCAACATTTGGCAGGCAGGACAGATCAGTGATCCGAGGGCCGTGGGGTTTGGGAAGGAAGAGATCCCTGTTGGGGTATTACGGAGGCAAAATCTCACCAACAAGGGATCTGGGGAGCAGAACTCCCTCCTCCCCCAGAGACAATGAAACTGTGTGTGGCTTTCTCCCCTCTTCCCCACTTGTGCCAGGCCCCTCTGTCCAGCCAAACAAAAGCGGGAACAAAAAACCCCAAAATGATGAGGGTTCCCCCAAGTCACCCTGAAGGGTGTGGTGTAGGGAGGATAAATACATTAAGAATAGGAGGCACTCAGTGCTATGGCAGTGGAGGCCAGATAAGTATGTAAGGGATAGCGTCTATGTCTAAACTTACAGTGTTGCAGTTGCACCACTGTAAGGTTTCAGTGTGGACACTTACTACAGTAAGGGAGAGGCTCTCCTGTTGCTGTAGTTAATCCACCTCCTTGAGAGGTGGTAATTTGGTGGACAGAAGAATTCTTCCATCAACCTAGCACAGCCTACACATGGACTTAGGTCGGCTTAACTCCATTACTCAGGGAGATGGATTTTTCAGCTGGATTGATCTAATTTTCTAGTGTAGACTAGCCCAGGGATACTTGCTCAGTTTACAAGACGGGCAGTATCGTTATTATTTGAATTCTAATAGCGCCTAGAGATTCCAGCCAAGACTGAAACTCCATTGTGCTGGGCACTGTATCACACAAGTTAGCAGACAGTCCCTGCCCCAAAGAGATTACAGTCAAGGCAAAGGGTGGTGGGGAAACAGAGACCCAGAGGTAAAGTGACTTGTCCAAGGTCACCCAGCTGGTGAGTGGCAGAGCCAAAATAAGCATCAGGTATCTCCCAAGTTCCAGTGCAGTACCTTAGCCATTAGAACACACAGTCTCTTCACAAGTCAGAAAATATTTTCATTGCCATGAATAGCTATGACTCTGATACATACAAGGGAACAGATCTGCTGAGGAAGAAGGGGCCATTTTTAATAGTTACTTTTCACCGCACAACTATAAGGTCTCTTGCAGTGACCAAAATATACCTTTGGCTTCTAACAGGTCTGAAGGAATCATCCCCTGGGAAGAGAGTGCCAGTGAAGATATCATGGTCTTTCTGAAGCAGTTCCCTGACCAGAGAAAGGAGATAGAGAAGTGTATCCAGTGCCTTAAGGATATGGCAGACAGCATTGATGAGACCCATAAGAACTGCACCATTGCCAACATGGCCGCGAACTCCACAAGCCTGGCGTCCGGCATCTTGACCATCCTTGGGCTGACCTTAGCACCACTGACGGCAGGGGGGAGTTTGGCTCTCATGGCAACTGGGATTGGCCTAGGGGCGGCAGCAGCAGCTACCAGCATTTCTGTAAGCATATATGAGAACGTCAGCAATTTGAAGGAAAGGAGCAAAGCCAACGACCTGCTGGTGGAATGCCAAAGCAACCTGAAAACACTGTCCCTCCCCGACGAAGTGGATTTCAGACCCAAATTCTCTCCAAAGAGCGAGGCCATGGTCGAACACCTGAAACCCGTCCTTTCCACCGCTAGTAAAATTCCAGGGGTAGTATACAAAAGCGTTAAGGGGATAAGAACCAACGTAAGAGCATTCAAAGTGGTGAAAGCTAACCCTGGTTTGAAGGCCTTAGCAAAACGGCTCACCGCGGCTGGGAGTGCAGCCCGAAACTCAGCAAAGGGGACCAAGCAAGTGCAAAAAGTGTTAGGTGGGACCACCCTTGCCATGTCCAAAGGTGCGAGGGTGTTCGGTGCCACAGCAGCAGGAGTTTTTGTCTTGTTTGATGCCTACAGTCTCGTGAAAGACTCCATCCATTTAACTGAGGGGGCAAAGGCGGAGGCTGCAGCAGATATAAGAGAAAAAGCTAGCTACCTTGAAAAGGACCTTCAGAATCTCAGCGAGCTGTATGAGGAGCTGAAAGGCATGGTGTACCAATAGATGAGATACAAGTTCCCATTTCCAGCACTGGGCCAGGAGAGGAACCGAGCCACAAGGGGAGGGGAGATCATGGTAGGACGTCAAAGCCCCCAAAAGCGACACATGATGCCAACTAATAAGGAGATCCCAGCTCCACTTTGACCAAAAGCATCAAACAATCTGAACAGTTCAAAGAGACTGATACGGTAATTCAGTGAAAGGATCGGGAGATGTCGTGCATTTTGTTTGTACAGGACCTGGGACACCGTGAATCCCCCTGCTAGGAGTTTACCCTGTTTTGCCTGTGCTTAAGAGAAAGTAACAATATCCTGTACGCATGTGTGAGAGATCTGCTCAGGAGTGAAATTACAAGAGCAGTACCTGCTTTTCAGATGAACTTGTAAAGCATTAAACTTCTTCTTCCTTTCTGTTTTGAGTGTATGAGCTGCCTTGCCCACATCTGTAATACTCACTGAAGCATTTTAATTCACCTCAGCAAATAGATAGAAATACCTGAGATATTTGTGCCTGGCCACCGTTATTTTTATATTAGAGTAGCACCTACTTGCCTCAACGGTAGGTGTTGTACAGACTCAGTGGACACTGGGGCTGGGTGTGAAGAGAAGGCATGAGGGAGAGAGAAATTTCTCCAGAGTTCTGAAACTCACCCCCATCTGCAAGAGCATCCGGAGAAGGGGAGATTCCCCCAACTCCCTTCACTGGAAATTAAAGCCATGCTGTGCAGTCCTAGCAGTTCTAGGTTAACCAACCACACAGCCATGAACTAGCATGGAGAGTAGCAAAGCAGTGTTTCTGGAAGGTGGAGGGTCAAAACTTTTACATTTCAGGGGAGGGGCACACCCTCACTCTAGAAGAGAAGAGGCTAATGTGTTCTTTCAGGCCCAGCCAGCACTAACCAAGAACCAATATACATGCATCCATACCCTCAGGACCAGGGTATCAAGAGGGAGCTGAGAGGATGTACAGACAGTAACTTAGAGAAAAAGGAAGGCTGTATCAGCCCTTGAAGGGAAAACAAGAGAAAGCCAGTGCCCTACAGAATGCACCCTGTACAGCAGCTGTGACATTGCTCCCATGTCCTGCCTTTGAGACCAACAGACCGGGCCTGGCAAAAGAGGGGTTTATTGGTATTTTATGCCGTGAAGAGTTAAGACCAAGCAGAGCTAGCTTGGCAGCCATATGAAACCCTAGCTGTGCACATGTATTTCCCATTAGACACATGCAGTTTAATTCCTGACTCATTATGAATGATTTAAAAATGTGTCTGAAAAAAATTAATCCAACTGGAAAATAAAGCTGTAGTCTGAAAGGTGCAGACATGGAAATTAAAAAACGTTCTTTCAAAATTACTGATAATATAAATGGAGGAGCACTGAGGGCATTGCGTGCACTTTGTTTCCCATTTAAAAATACACGTTGCAGTGGCAAAAACCTACACATAAACCCCCAAAGCCAGCCCTGCCATTCAGAAAGCGCATCCTAGAAAATATGATTTATTATTTGTACTGCAGTAGAGCCCAGAGGCTCCAGAACAGGTTCAGGCCCCCACTGTACTAGCTAGGATCAATATGGCAAAACACACACAATTCATATGATGCCCATTCCCAGAACAGATTGCCCAGATGGTTGTGACATTGAGGTCACATGCCAAATCCAAGATTTTACTGCAAACTGGGGGAGTAGGAGAGGGGAGAGTTGGGGAGGGTGACCCATGGCCTGACCTTCAACTCCTAGCAGGCCGAGGAGGGAACTAGTCAGACTGTTGGTACATTCAGAATAGCTAAGTTATTGTGACATCAAAATCATAGGTGAAAGCCAGGTTGCAAAGAAAGGGAGAATAACCTTTCCACCAACACGTGATGGGAGCTCGTTTCTGAACATTCACACACAAATCGAACCAGAGTCAGCACATCCTACTAAAATATTTAATTTCAAACACAGCATGTCCCGCTTTCCCTGCTTAGGCAGCTTCCCACACACAGGAACTAGTAATAGGCCCAAGCCAAAATCTTAGACCCAACCGTCCACCGGAAGGCCAGCTCCAAGTCTGCAGTTTGGGGAGGCCTCCAGCTCTTTAATGAGCTGAATTAAAACCCTGGATCCAAACTCCCAGAACGTCGTGCCTCAGGCCCGTAACAGCACTGGGCTCTTGTGTCGCTCTCATACATTCCACAGTCCGACCGTCCAAGTCCCCCACCTCCAAATAACCATGTCTCCTGTCATCTCCCTTTAGTCTCATTAGGCTGCCCAGAATAGACTCCGGTCTCTCGTAAGGCTTCACATTAGAAGTTTTCACATCATGTGTCTAACATTTCCCCAGTTGTGTGTATCTGACCCTAACAACTATCGTACTGAACTGAACTGGCAGACATTGAAGCTCTTCCTGCATATTCAAATGTTATGTTCCTGCTGGTATCTCTGTTGTAGTCCAGATTTCTAGCCACTGGCATGATCTGAAGCCATCTGGTGGCTATGCTTGAAAAAATGCTTTAAGTGCAGATTCATTTCATGCTAAAACCGACCAAGATAATCTCTGCAACACAGACAGTTCTGTGCAGTGACAAAGCCAGGGATGTTAAAGATGGGTCCTGGTAACAGCACAAGGGATTCACATGCTGGTGCAAATGCGAGGCTCAAAAAACCCAGCAACGACAGCAGGTTCCACTGTGCCAGCACCCTTTGTAGCTGAATCTTCCTCCAATTCAGCACATGTCCACACTGCACTGTCCCTCGGGGAGCAAGGCAGATCTTCCACAGCTCTGTAAGCAGAGCTGAGGATTAGAAAATGGCAGCCCCCACACGTGAGAGCTGTACTTTGCAAGCCACGGGACACTGTATCCAACCCTAGTGCAGGGCGTCACTGTGGATCACTGACTTGTCGGGATCTGGTATCACACTGGGTGAACCACACCCCTGGAGGTGAATGGTTTGGATGCTCCAAGCACTGAGTTCTTTCAGCTCTAGCCCTCGGGGTGAGCGCCCATTCACTGTGATAACATGGAGGATAACTAGGGCTGAAGAGGTAAGGTGCAAAGACACTCAGCACAGTTGCTTTAGTCACAGGCAAAAGAGATGATAAATGATCAGCTCAGCAGCTCCTAACTCAGAGTCCCCAAGGCCGAGAACAACCCAATACGAGGTGATGAAGGAAAGAGTCTTGGTGTAACCTCTCTACCTGATGTACCCCTGGCAGCAGCTCGTGCTTGTCCCTTGCCAGCGACAGGCTGTGATTTGATCCCGCCTTCCAGCCTCAGCTCTCCAGCTGCCTGGACTTCTTTCAACAGTCAGTTCCTCCCACAGGGCCCTCAGCTCTCTTCTGAGCCAGGTCCCCCAGTGACCTCCTCCTTCCCACTCCTGTGCTGGACTCTAGAAGGATTAGAGAGCCGTCTGCTGGCTGAATGTTGAACTGGGTGGTAAGAGGTGCCCAGGAGTTTCATGCTCAACCCTACATGAACTTTTTCTCCACAGACAGGCTATCTGCATATGATGAAAGGCAATTCAATGCAGAGTTGTTAACCAGAGCCCCAAGACCTTAATTTAACCTTGCAAAACACGCAGTAAATCCCCATCGGATCTGCTTTCGGTTTCTATCTCACCGGTTTCCTGGTTCCACTTTCTTTTGAAAGCTTTGCTCTTTGTCCTCCCACAGCACAGCCAGGGCATCAGTGGAGAGGGAAAGCCATGCAAATCATGACACAGACAAAGAAGTGGCAGCCCGAGAGGTAAGCGCGATAGGATTTCATTTGAATTATTGATTTAGATCTTCTGTATTTATCAAGCAAGGTGCTATTGTTTTGTCTCCTGCTGGCAAACATAACACACTGTAGTTGGAATTCTTAGTAAAACGTGAACTGTTTACTAAAGAAAACATACAGCAGACTGTTTCTGATGGTCACAGCAACCAGATTCACTTTGCTTTCCTTCTCTTAAATGGTTGTCCTAATGCAGTGCTGTTGTTAATATTAACTTTACCTTCCTTACTGCGATGTGCTCTTGAACCCAACCCACATAGTTACCAGAGCGAGGACACACTTACAAGGCTCTGAACACGAGCTGTTAAATTAAATTACTGAGTCCAAGCCAACTAGCCGCCCAGAGCACTTTAAATGACCAGTTTTTAAATTAAGGGAGCAAAGAAATTACAGATGAAAAAGATCTACCAAGGTAATTGAGTCCACTCCTCTCTCGTGGCCTGCTAGCACAAGATTGTTCCTCATAATATATTTTCTAGTGCTTCATCTAGCATTTACAGATAAGAGTCCACGTCAGAAATGTGATCGGTTTTATTTCTACTGCAAAGAAGATTCTGCAGAGCACTGAAGATTTATTAGTGTTCTTCCTTCTACACACTGAGAAAAGCCTTATGTTTCAGTCAAATGGCATTTCAAACTGACATTTGCCAGATTAAGGCAAAATAACTAACTAACTGAAAGACAAGGTAATATCTTTTATTGGATCAACTTCTCTTGGTGAAAAAGACAAGCTTTTGAGCTACAGACAGTTCTTCCTCAGGTATTGGAAAGGTATTCAGGGTATGTTTACACTCAGAGACCTGCCCTTTGGGGGGCAGGGCAGAGTGAGGGCAGCAGCTTCAGCAGATGTTACTGAGCATGTTCAGTCTGTGAGCATGCTCAGTACAAGCAAAGCAGCAAATCGGGCGGTGGGGGTGGCACATAGATTCATAGATTCATAGATATTTAGGCCAGAAGGGACCATTATGATCATCTAGTCTGACCTCCTGCACAATGCAGGCCACAGAATTTCACCCACCACTCCTAAAAAAGACCTCACACCTATATCTGTGCTATTGAAGTCCTCAAATTGTAGTTTGAAGACCTCAAGGAGCAGAGAATCCTCCAGCAAGTGACCCGTGCCCCATGCTACAGAGGAAGGCGAAAAACCTCCAGGGCCTACCAATCTGCCCTGGAGGAAAATTCCTTCCCGACCCCAAATATGGCGATCAGCTAAACCCTGAGCATATGGGCAAGATTCATCAGCCAGATACTACAGAAAATTCTTTCCCGGGTAACTTGGATCTTACCCCATCTAAAAACCCATCACAGGCCATTGGGCCTATTTACCATGAATATTTAATTACCAAAACCATGTTATCCCATCATACCATCTCCTCCATAAACTTATCGAGTTTAATCTTAAAGCAAGATAGATCTTTTGCCCCCACTACTTCCCTCGGAAGGCTATTCCAAAACTTCACTCCTCTGATGGTTAGAAACCTTCGTCTAATTTCTAATCTAAATTTCCTAGTGGCCAGTTTATATCCATTTGTTCTTGTGTCCACATTGGTACTGAGTTTAAATAATTCCTCTCCCTCTCTGGTATTTATCCCTCTGATATATTTATAGAGAGCAATCATATCTCCCCTCAACCTTCTTTTAGTTAGGCTAAACAAGCCAAGCTCCCTGAGTCTCCTTTCATAAGACAAGTTTTCCATTCCTCGGATCATCCCAGTAGCCCTTTTCTGTACCTGTTCCAGTTTGAATTCATCCTTCTTAAACATGGGAGACCAGAACTGCACACAGTATTCCAGGTGAGGTCTCACCAGTGCCTTATATAACGGTACTAAAACCTCCTTATCCCTACTGGAAATACCTCTCCTGATGCATCCCAAGATGACATTAGCTTTTTTCACAGCCATATCACATTGGCAGCTCATAGTCATCCTATGATCAACCAATACTCCAAGGTCCTTTTCCTCCTCCGTTACTTCTAGTTGATGCGTCCCTAGCTTATAACTAAAATTCTTGTTATTAATCCCTAAATGCATGACCTTACACTTCTCACTATTAAATTTCATCCTATTCCTATTACTCCAGTTTACAAGGTCATCCAGATCCTCCTGTAGGGTATCCCTGTCCTTCTCTAAATTAGCAATACCTCCCAGCTTTGTATCATCTGCAAACTTTATTAGCACATTCCCACTTTTTGTGCCCAGGTCAGTAATAAAAAGATTAAATAAGATTGGTTCCAAAACTGATCCTTGAGGAACTCCACTGGTAACCTCCCTCCAACTTGACAGTTCACCTTTCAGTAGGACCCGTTGTAGTCTCCCCTTTAACCAATTCCCTATCCACCTTTCAATTTTCCTATTGATGCCCATCTTATCCAATTTAACTAATAATTCCCCATGTGGCACAGTATCAAACGCCTTACTAAAATCTAAGTAAATTAGATCCACTGCGTTTCCTTTATCTAAAAAATCTGTTACTCTCTCAAAGAAGGAGATCAGGTTGGTTTGGCACGATCTACCTTTTGTAAAACCATGTTGTATTTTGTCCCATTTACCATTGACTTCAATGTCCTTAACTACCTTCTCCTTCAAAATTTTTTCCAAGACCTTGCATACTACAGATGTCAAACTAACAGGCCTATAATTACTTGGATCACTTTTTTTCCCTTTCTTAAAAATAGGAACTATGTTAGCAATTCTCCAATCATACGGTACAACCCCTGAGTTTACAGATTCATTAAAAATTCTTGCTAATGGGCTTGCAATTTCTTGTGCCAATTCTTTTAATATTCTTGGATGAAGAATATCTGGGCCCCCGATTTAGTCCCATTAAGCTGTTTGAGTTTCGCTTCTACCTCAGATATGGTGATGTCTACCTCCATATCCTCATTCCCATTTATCATGCTACCATTATCCCTAAGATCCTCTTTAGTCTTATTAAAGACTGAGGCAAAGTATTTGTTTAGATATTGGGCCATGCCTAGATTATCCTTGACCTCCACTCCATCCTCAGTTTTTAGCGGTCCCACTTCTTCTTTCTTTGTTTTCTTCCTATTTATATGACTATAGAACCTTTTACTATTGGTTTTAATTCCCTTTGCAAGGTCCAACTCTACTTGACTTTTAGCCTGTCTCACTTTATCCCTACATATTCTGACCTCAATAAGGTAGCTTTCCTTACTGATCCCTCCCTTCTTCCACTCCCTATATGCTTTCTGCTTTTTCTTAATTACCTCTCTAAGATGCTTGCTCATCCAGCTTGGTCTACAACTCCTGCCTATGAATTTTTTCCCCTTTCTTGGGATGCAGGCTTCCGATAGCTTCTGCAGCTTTAATTTAAAATAATCCCAGGCCTCCTCTACCTTTAAACCCATAAATTCTTCAGTCCAATCCACTTCCGTAACTAATTTCCTTAATTTTTGAAAGTCAGCCCTTTTGAAATCAAAAACCCTAGTTGCAGATTTATTTTTGTTAATCCTTCCATTCAGTTTGAACTGAATTAGCTCATGATCACTTGAACCAAGATTATCCCCTACAACCATTTCCTCTATGAGGTCCTCATTACTCACCAAGACCAAATCTAAAATGGCATCCCCTCTAGTCGGTTCAGCAACTACTTGCTGAAGGAATCCATCAGCTATCGCATCTAGGAAAATCTGAGCCCTATTATTATTACTAGCACTCGTCCTCCAGTCTATATCTGGGAAGTTAAAGTCTCCCATGATCACACAGTTTCCATTAGTATTTACTTTATTAAAAACATTAAAAAGGGCTCTATCCATATCCAAATTAGATCCCGGCGGTCTATAGCACACCCCAAGCACTATCCCAGGGGAGGCTCTAATAGTTTTCTTCCCCAATTTAATGACCCCAGAGGCCGCCCCACCAGCTGCGCCGCCATAGTGCTTCAGTGTAGACACTACCTACACTGACGGGAAGGGTTCTCCCATTGGCGTAGTTAATCCACCTTCCCGAGAGGCAGTAGCTAGGTTGACAGAAGTGCTGTCTACACCAGGGCTTCAGTATAGCTACACCTCTCAGGGGTGGGAATGTTGCCCATGGAATCCCTGAGGCTACCAACAAAGGGTCAGCTCATGCCAATTTTGACTCCACCGATAGTTTTATAATATGGGCACCTGTTCCCACTAGGGACTAGATTCTCAGTCATTCCACAAGCCACATCAGTCTCCTCTTGAGTCACCTTTAATAAGATACCCCTGAAGGGTTCAACAGAGAAGATGCAGAGAGTATTTTCCTCCAGGATATCTTCAGGAGCATCCAGTATTTCTGAAGGTACCTGAATATCTGCTGCAGCTCAGGCTGCTTCTCAGTCTCTATTTTTCACTGTTCGGAACTAGTGCATCACACTTAAAACACCCTTTCAGGGCCAGGGGTTCCTGCTTTCCTCTCTCATCATCCTGTTGGCTGTGAGAGTCACCCTAATCAGGGTCACCCAGGTAACCCAGGTAACTCCCAGTTACACTTGACCTGCGACGAGAGAGCCTGGGACCCAAATCTGGGTCTTCTACATGATTATGAGGAGCATTTCCAGGACTTGAGAGTCCAGAGAATGAAGGATCAGGACTTGGAACTGAGTTCTAATCTCCTGTAGCTCAGCACAGTGCATGAACCACTGCGCGTAGCTTCCTGCCCCTTCTTCGTTTGACTCGCATGCAAAACACAAGGGAATACTTGGTTTAATTATTTTAAATTTGATTTAGAAAATCTTGATGACAACCTTGAAATATCAAAGCATCTAAAGAGGACACTGGTAGACAAGATTGTCACTGACTTGAATGCTGAAGATTTGATGATGGTCAAGCAGGCCTTGATATATCTTGAGAGGTAATGCACGGCAATTTTGGCCAGTTAAGAATTCTCGCGAACAGAAGTTAACCAGTTGATCTGCTTTAATTTCCTTCCCCTTTAGTACGACACAATGTTCCGTGTTATGTGAAAAATGCAGGCTGTGATATTCCAGTTCTAGGCATAGGTGCAGTGTCTGTGAAACGTTTCTGATGTTTGTTGTTTTGTTTTTGTTTTTTTTAACTGAAAATGTATTCGATCTGCCTTGAGCAGGGTTACAGGACACAACATTAAAGCCAGCAGCATGAGTCCTGAGCTGGGGCTCTCCATGTTACTAATGTCTGTGAAGCTGAATTGACAATGGACAGAGTGGGAATTTTTTTCGAAAATTTCTCGACCATAAACAGGGCTTCTGAGAATTAGTGACGAGGGTTAGCATTTTTAAGGCTATCCTTTGCACTCAAAGTCCATCAAAGTCCAGGTTCCTTAGCTGGGGAGTGACACAGTCTCCAGGTGCCAGTTATGATAGAAAGAAGTCCCCTTCTCAAGCTTTAGGGCATAGGACAACCTCTAACTATTGTGATTTAGGGGGAAACTTTCCCTGGGGGCAGGTTATACCAGAGCTGCCTGCTGCAGGAGTTTTTTTACCCTTTCCTCTGAAGCATCTGGTGCTGGCTACTGTTAGGGACAGGATACTGAACTACTGTAGATGGACATCTAGGGTATGATCCAACCTGGCAATTCCTATATCTCGCAGCTGTTACACATTCAGCCTGAATTCAGCTTTCATTTTAACAGTTAAGATTCTGGCCCTTTCTCTGTTCACTGTTTAAAACAAACAGATCATTGAGGTGGGATGTAGGGCAATGATGGGAAATCTTAAGAAAACGTCGAGTGCAGACTCAACCTAAGAGAGATTTAACCAGTAAAGCAGAGCAACTTACTTCCTCCTTTGGTGCATGTGACACACTGATTTACACCGTTCAGGGTGGTATCTGAGAGCAGTGCTGCATGGCTGGCTCGTATCCTGTTTGTTAGGCGTGAAGTGAATCCCAAGCTGGGGAAGTGGCTGGAGTATCCTGTGGGTCAACAGCTTTGCAGGTTTTCCAAGTCAAGGGAGAGTGCTGCTCACTTCTGCCTCCAGTGACTTTTCAAAGTGCTTCAGAATACATCCCAACAGTGCTTCCCCCTCCCCAATATCAAACTATACTTTCCATCTCAGTAAATGTAGGCACTGCGTCTTTTGCTCCTCAGCCAATAATGACACAAAAAAACCACATGGGCACAGTTGGGCCCTAAGTAACCATGTTTACTAACATATACAAACATGGCAGGCAGCCTAGTCACGTACACGCTGCTGCTCCGGCTGGTGTCCGGGGGCTTCTAAAACACAGAACGCAGGGAGTGCCACGAGAGGGCTCGCGGACTGTTAAAAGGGATACGACCCTAGTCCGATATATTGCAGTGGCTAAAATAAGGTCACTCACTTTTTAAAATTCTCTCTCCTTTGCCAATGCCTCAAGGAGCCGAGCTATTTTGGGACCACTAGCTGACAAGGGGCTGGGTGCTTTTGCTCAGCTGGGCTCCTGCTGAGAAGCAAATGGAGTGTCCCCTCCTCCCTTCCCCCATCCTGCAGACAGCAACTGAGGGGCAACATGTCCTGATTCTAGAAGTTGACACCTTACTTCCCCCTCCAAACAAGGAGCCTGCGTGGGCTGGGTGTCCAGGCACAGATTGTCCTGTGCACAGAGTCTGGTTGTCCGGGCATCTTCTGGGCTATCAACAACTCCTCTGCACTAACACCCCAGTGGCTGTCTAGGTCTCAAGCACACGGGTAGCAGGTAGCTTCAAGTTCTTGTTCATCCTACTGCTCGCTGCTGATTCTGTGCCACTGTCTGCCTGGGGGAGCTCTTGTCTCAACCCTCCCAAATGACAAGAGAGCTACAATTACTGCTATTGGGGTAGTATCTAGATGGCTCGGGCAGGGTTTGGGTTTCCCAGTGCGCTAGATGTAGCACATATATATAAATAACAAGGTAACCCCTGTCCCAAAGAGCTTACAACTTCAGCGTAGAGGGAAAACAAGTGGATACAGCAAAGAGAGAGGGGGAAGGGGAAGGTAACACTGCAACGAGCATGTTCAGCAGCAGTCACTGCACACCCACCACTTAACCATCATTGACTGTTCTGTAGGCACTCCGTCTGAGGTCGGTTTTAGAGGGGACTCACTGGGAGGCATAGGTGCTGGAACTAGGGGTGCTGCCGCACCCTTACGCTTGAAGTGGTTTCCACCATATCCAGGGTTTACAGTTTGGTTCAATGGCTCTCAGCAGCCCCACTCTACAAATCATTCCAGCGCCCCTGCCAGGAGGAGAAGCTTCAGAGAATCCCACCCTCCCCCAAGAGCGACGTCTCTGCAGTGTATTACCTCCTGTCATTCCAACATCTTCATACAAGGTGAGGGGTGTGGCATAAGAACCTGAATAGAACAGAGTTTCACTGGGGCACTTACTGTCCATGAGTAGCCAGTATTCAACTCTTCTGCATTTGTGTATTTGGTTATTCCAGTCAAGCCTTTACCTTTTAGCAGCTCTCATGTGTTGACTGACCCCGTGGCACCAACTATAAACACATGACTTTGTCATCCAACAGGAATAAAGAAAGTATCTGTGACTTCCTGAAGCAGTTTCCCGAGCAAAGAAAGAAGGTGGAAAGCTTCATACGATGCCTTGAGGAAATGGTAGACACCATGGATGAAGTCCATAAAAAATGTGCCACGATACGTACTGCAGCAAACACCATGGGTTTTATTTCAAGCATTTTTAATCTAGTAAAACATGGGGGCCGTCTCGGTCTTGGTTGGGAGATATTAGGTGATGTTGCAAATATTTCCAGACTTGTATACAAAAATCATAACAACTTCAAGATAGAGGATAAAGTTAAGAAGTTGCTACAGCAATATGAAAACAGCCTGAATTATCTGAAAATGTCCAATGAAGAGGATTGTGAATTAGAAGCTTTTCAGAAGACGGAGGCCTCATGCAACTACTTGAATGATTTCTTGTCTGCTGCTGGTTCAGCTCAGGGATTATATAGAAACATTACAAAGTTAAACAAATCAACTCAACAAAAAGCTAACCCTAGTTCAAGGTCAGAAGAAAGCAGTATCCCTAGCAGAACTAGACAGTCTAAGGCAATGGGAAGCGGTTCAGCTGAAACACCACCTGCTGCATCCAAAGGAAACTGGCTGGATGCCGTAATAGCAACACCAGCCATCATAAACAAAGCCTGTGTGATTAAGACAGACGTCACACATTTAGCTGAGGGAGGTAAGGGAGGGACTGGAGCTGAAATAAGAAAAATAGCTGAGAAGCTGAAAATGAAACTTGAGGCGATCAGTTTGCTGTATACAGCGTATTTGGAATTGACAGATATGGCAAATTAGCAAACTTTTATGTATAAATATACCATTCACGGCATACACATGGAGAAGTTAGATAAAAACCAAATACTCTTGCTAGAAGGTTGCAACATAACACGACTTTCCTTAGGGAATGTTTACACTGAAAAGTTACATGAGCATAGCTACATCCCTCAGGGGTTGGAAAAATCCACACCCCCAAGAGACAGAGTTAAGCCAACATCACCCCCAGTGGAGCTGATGGCTAGGTCAATGGAGAATACTTCCACCGACCCAGCCACTGCCTCTTGGGGAGGTGGATTAACTGCAGCAACGGGAGAACCCCTCCTATGACTCTCGTGAGTGTCTACAGTGAATCTGTGCAACTGTGCTGCGGTAGCGGTTTAAGTGTAGGCTTATCCTTAGAATCATGGCATTTAAGGCCAGAAGGCACCCTAGATAATCTAGTCTGACCTCCTGTATAGCTAGGGCCCTTCGTTTTCAGTGTTTATTCTCCCAGGAATTTAACAGTGTTTATTACCATAACAACAAAAACTGGTGAAAATCAGTGCAAAAGACTATTCATCATTTTACTGGGTAAATATCGGAGTTTATTTTGGTGGATGGAAAGACAGGGGGGGGGAAGTATTTAGTAGATTAATGCTTTGAATTCCATTAGTCAATGTGCGTTTGCTGCAGAACTAAAACAGAACTCAAAACATAATGCTACCTCTGAGTTTAAGAAAACGATATATCTCTAATCCCCAAATAAAACTTTTCATTTGAATAAACAATGGACTGCTGTAGACTTAGAACTATTAGCCTACAAATATTTACATTTAATAATTGGGCCATGCCATTTGCAGTGCATACACTCAACTTCATCCTTTTCTCCCGTTTTTGTTTTTTTTTAAACTTTCGAATACTTCCTTGTGTTCTGAAACATAGTCTGTTACAGATTTTTGTTTTCTTCCCATTTTAGTGTATCAAATCTTTAAACTGTTATCTGCCAACGGCTTGAAACATGTACATGGTCGACGTGAAATTCATCGGTACGTTCAGACGCGCATGCGCTTCAGAGCTTGTGTGCATGCCTGTTTGTTGTGTGTATCTTCTAGACCAGGGATCTCCAAACTACGGCCAGTGGCTTCGATTTGCCCAGCCCCCCAACCAACATCGCATCGGGCGGCCGGACCCCGGCTGGCAGGAGCCCGTGGCGGGAATCCGAGAGCAGCAGTGGGCTGAGCAGCTCAGCCCGCCACCGCTCTGAGGTTCCCGCCGCGGGCTCCTGTCAGCCGGGGTCTCAGCCCACTGCCAGCCTGGGTTCCTTCACCCAGGCCAGCAGCGGGTGCTGGGTGCAGGCAGTGGCGGGACCCCGGCTGGCAAGGGGCCAGCAGCAGAAACCCCAGAGCCGCGGCAGAACTTCATTACGTCACTGCATTCCTGCCAGGGTCGCAGAGCCGATGAGCACGCAGTAGGTAGGTTAGTAGCGGCAGAAGGAACTGGATGCGTGATGAGTTGTTGTTTCCCTCAGTTTTTGTCTTAGCGCGTGTCAGACTATTGAGAAATGTATATTCGTTGTGTTTAAGTCTGTTGCTACTGGGGCCATTATGTCGGGAAAAGGACAGAAGAGAAAGGTTGATTCTGAATGTCGCGTGTTTAAAGAACAATGGAGTGTGGACTATTTCATTATTGAATCAGGTAGTAAAGCATTGTGTTTAATATGTAACGAAACTATCGCAGTGCTAAAAGAATACAACGTTTGTAGACATTATGGAACCAAGCACTGGTCGAACTACTCTCAATTTACGGGAAAGCTACGTTCAGATAAATTAGAATCCATGAAACGTGGCTTATCGTCACAACAGTTTATATTTAAGAAGAAGAAAACCGAGAACAAAGCTGCAACAAGAGCCACCTTCCGAGTGGCACAACTGTTAACAAAATGAAGAAAACCATTTACTGATGGCGAGCTAGTTAAAATATGTATGATTCAAGCAGCCGAAGAAATATGCCCAGAAAAAGTAGATTTATTTAAGACAATTAGTCTTTCGGCAAACACAGTTGGTCGCAGAATCGAGGACATTGGCAGTAATATAATTTTCCAGATGAATGAAAATGCTAAGAAGTTTGAGTGGTTTTCCCTCGCACTTGACGAGTCAACTGATGTTTCCGATACTTCGCAGCTGCTGTTGTTTATTCACGGGGTCGGCAGTAATTTTGAAGTTATGGAAGAACTAGCCTCTGTGCATAGTATGCATGGAACAACCATAGGTGAAAAGATTTTCAAAGAAGTTGAAAAGTCACTTTCTCAATACAACCTGCAATGGAAACAACTGAAATACGTTACAGTTGATGGAGGTAGAAATATGTGCAGTTCCAAAAAAGGTTTGATTGGACAAATCTACAAAGCTTGTGAAAGTGCGGGCCTATGAAACCCAAGCCTATGATTCTTCATTGCATTCTTCATCAGCAAGCATTGTGCGGGAAATATTTGGATTGGTCATGTGTTATGGAACCCGTAGTTTCAACCGTGAATTTCATTCGCTCGCATGGACTAACCATCGTCAGTTCCAAGCATTTCTGGTGGAAATAGAATCAGAATATCATGAGTTGCCCTACTACACTTCAGTTTGATGGCTTAGCTGTGGAAAGGTTTTATCGTGATTTTTTTAGCTTAGAACTGAAATTGAAATGTTCTTAAATTTAAAAAAATGACCTCTACCTGTACTCACAAACAGTGAATGGGTTTGGAAATTAGCTTTTTTTCGTAGACTTAACCAAGCACATGAATGACTTCAATCTTAGACTACAAGGAGAAAATGGGCTTATCTGTGACATGTACACCCAGGTGAAAGCATTCAGGCAAAAACTAGTTCTTTTCGAGTCCCAGCTGATGAGGGACTGCTTTGCTCATTTTACATGTTGTGAAAAGTTCAACCAAGTTCAACTGAATCACGATTCCCAACTATGTTTGCACAAGAAATCATTTCTGATCTGAAACTACAGTTTCAGGAGTGTTTCTCTGACCTTGATGTGAATGCAGGAGAAATATGGATCTTCCAAAACCCATTTCATTGCGATCTCAAAAAACTGCCACCTGAACTTCAAACGGAAGTTTGAAGTTTGAAGTTTGATTGACCTGCAATCCAATGATTTGTTGAAGGACAAATATAAGGAATGAAATCTGGTAGAGTTCTATAAATGCCGGCCAAGTGATCAATATGCTCATGTAAAAAACCTTGTCTGTGGATTAATGTCAGTGTTTGGCACTACTTATGTGTGTGAAAAAACATTTGTGATGATGAAATATGTGAAATCCAACTACAGATCGACCTTGTCTGATGAACATGTACAATCAATTTTGATGATCGGGAACACTAACTTTGAACCACAGCTAAATGCAGTTTTGTCAGAAAAACATTAGTACCATACTTCTCGCTAATCCTAAAATAATATTTCTTTTTTTTAACGATTTTGCATATGTTTAATTTTTTCACAGTCGCTTCGTCCCGCGAAGGCCCTTCAAAAATCTAATATGGCCCTTGTCTCAAAGTTTGGAGACCCCTGTTCTAGACTAATACATAGCTTTACTTCAACAAACAGCTTTGCATATACACACAGACTAATGTACTATCGTAATACATATATCTCATGCAACGTATTGTATTTTCCTAATAAAAGAAGTTTTTTTATATATTTGAATGATAAAAAAGTAAGGTGAAAATCTGTAAAAAAAAAAATGAATAATACTTTTTGTAAAACCCAGGAATTTTTTGGTAAAAATCAGATTAAACTGAAAACAAAGGGGCTTCTGTATAGCACAGGTCACCAGCATCAACCAGCACCTGCACGCTAAACCCAACAACTGAAATGACACCAGAGTATTGCAGCCCACAGGAGACTAGACTATTATGTGCCACAGGCAGTGAACAAGAGGGACTGAGGTGCCCTGGTGCTGGAGGCCCCAGCAACGGCAGGGAAATGATTAAATGAGATATACCCAGAGAATCCTGCAAGTAACCCATATCCACACAATAACAAAGGCCACAAAACAGAGAGAGACAAAGCAGGCTGCTCCCTAAAAACAGAGAGGCACAACTCACCCACTATACTCTAGAGTCTGGACAGACTGTCTGCAGACTGACTGATCACATGCTTTCCTATAGAGTCCTGTCAAAGTCAGATTCAAGACTCACTGAATTTGTCAGACCACTCTGTTCATTAGCAAAGCGCTTTGCCAATGCACCCAGATATATGTGAGCCTTCTGCAAAAGCTCAAGATAACTTATTTATACAGATAAGCCAAAGCCAATTTAACATAGGAGACAAAAGGAAGCAGAAACTGACAAATATACATACATATCTTATTTGCATACTAATGTTTACCAATCTCCTAGCTCAGTAGGAGCTCTAAGTTAATTAGTTTGAGGACCCATTGTCTCACACTCCTGAATGTTTCTCTTCTTGACAACTATATTTCAACAAACTCTTCAAGCAGCATTTCTTTAATGAATTATAATTTCAATATAATTCATTCTACTTTCACAGTCCCCTAGCTTGCAAGCAGGACCAGGAATAAAAACCTGAAATTTAAAGTCACCGCCTACAATTTTAACAGAGTTTCAATACACCACAAATGAAGAATCATACACTGAAATATCCCCTTCAGTTTATTCATGCAGTAGAACTGCTGGCTGAGGTGAGCAATGGTTTTATATGATCAAAGGCATCTCCATTTTCAACCAAGATGGCATTTTATGCAGATTTATATGTATTACGGTAGCAGTTAGATATCTCCAAATGCACATGAAATATCTGAAGTGCTCCAAGGCGGGAGAGGCACCTGACCTTCCTAAATATAAACCATGGTATAGATCAGTGGCTTTCAGCCTTTCCAGACTACTGTACCCCCTTCAGGAGCCTGATTTGTCTGGTGTACCCCCAAGTTTCACCTCACTTAAAAACTGCTTGCTTACAAAATCAGACCTAAAAATACAAACGTGTCACAGCATGCTGTTAATGAAAAATTGCTCGCTTTCTCATTGTTTCCATATAATTGTAAAATAAATCAATTGGAATATAAATGTTGTACTTACATTTCAGTGTATAGTAGATAGAGCAGTATAAACAAGTCATTATCCGTATGAAATTTTAGTTTGTACTGACTTTGCTAGTGCGTTTTATGTAGCCTGTTGTAAAAGTAGGCAACTATCTAGATGAGTTAATGTACCCCCTGGAAGACCTCTAATTACCCCCAGGGTACACGTACTCCTGGTTGAGAACTACTGGTATAGAACAATGCTTTCCCATTAAGATTTGTGGAGGATCACCTGGGAGGTATGGAATGCTTTACATCATATTCAACGTGCTCTTTATAAAATTGAGCCTCTACACAGATTGGGGAGATAGCTTTTGTCCATCAATCAGCGAAGCCATTGTAAACTGTTCCCCCCAACCACAAACATGGATTTGTTTGTGAAACTCCATCCCTTTCCCTTCTATGCCCCAGTCACAAAAATAAAAATATTTCAACCTAGCCTAGTTCCATGCAGTTTGTCAAGGTTTATCTGATGACTGGCTGGCATTTTCTATGCTGATGTGCTAGGGTCCCTTAAGATGTGCTTTTATGTTGATGTCATCTTCATTCCAAATTTTTTTGCTTACTTTCAACTAAGGCATGGCTTGAAAAAACACGTGTGGAACTAATGTTATTCTCTTTCCCCATTTGAATCAATTATCCAATCTACTGGCCTTTGCAAAGGTCTAACTTCAAGTCTACAAAACGTTGAATAAATCCAAACCACTTGTTGTTTCCAGTGTTGTTGTAGCCATGTTGGTCCCCGGATATTAGAGAGACTAGGTGGGTGAGGTAATAGCTTTTACTGTGAAGCAGCAGTTGGTCCAATAAAAGCTATTACCTCGCCTACCTTGTCTCTCTAAAACATTTATCAGTAATAGAGCACGGAAAGCCTTGGAGGTTATCTGCAAAGGCAACTGTGAATACAAAAACAAAAGAACATAATCTAGAATGTCTTGGCTCTCTTGATTAGGTCCATAAAATCTA